ATAGGTCCGTGTTACTATGCTCCTGTTTTGTGTTGTTTTACGGTTTTGAGCTTGAATACTGTTAGTTATCTCCATATGATTCATTCAGTTGACTTTTGAGGTTGATTACTGTCCGTTATCTTAATATTCCATCCTTCATAAAACTTGTAAGTTAAAATATTATTTCTGTAATTTTTGTCTTGCAGCATGTTTTTGGTATTTGATGCATTTTTATTCTAAATTTCAATTTTACTCAAAATTCATTGGAGTTAAAGCAAACAACAGAAGGGCGATGGACCTTAATGCAAATAGAAATTAACAATACATTGTTACAGAATACAGTTAAAAGAGTTGTCATTTGTTCCAGGAAATCAAACAATGCCCTTTATGTGATTCTAGTAATTTAAGATATAACACGACATCTCTATTTTTTTAAGAAGGGCTTTAAGTAAATGATTCTATTTTTAATTATAAATGCTACTTCTTTTGCATCAATCTTATCCAATTTTGTGTTTTCAAAAAGTTAGAGAATGAACTAACTCAGCCCTTCTAAATGCAAGACAATTAAACAGTCATATACTTTTCTCACTGCGCATCTTGATAGTTTCATAATTAATTCATTTAATACAGAATTTATTGTTTAATTTATAAATATATCAACAAACAACACACGAAAACGTGATTAAATTTAACTTTCCACGCCTTTCTTTAAGAAAATATAAAAACCGCATTATACAGTTCATGAACTTCTGATTCTGAAGACAAACTCGTATCATATACATAAAAATGAAGAAAAAATGAAATGAAACTAAGATCATAATGATGATAAATCATTGTCACAAATAATGTACAGAAAACAGAATGAAGTGATTGTGAGGCAATTCAGAGTTTTACATTATAGAATAAGATATAAATACGGGATACAAAGATTAAGTCAGTGACAGGGGATATTAACATAATTACATTAGCATATTATGCGAGCGAGAATGGCGCCGAAAGGTTAATTGTCCAGTTTAATTAGTCAACCCTGCTAAAAGTCCATACGTAATACGTAATGCATTCTCGTCTAGATTTTAACATTGCCATTAATTTTTCTTAAAATTCGAGAATGTTTTGAGATTTTCCGTATGGTTGTTTTTCGTTTTCAAATTCTGTTTTTTGTTGACTTCCATCTCTAATGCAAGCAAGCAGCTTTTCTCGCTAAGTAACTGAACAAAGAACAGATAAGAGTCAACTAAATGTCTTTCTTAAACTTTCATCCAAGTTGTCTTTCCACTTGTCTGTCTAATGGAGGTAGACATTTTGTGTATGTAGTTATCTGAAATGAAATACACACAAAATTAACTGAATAAATATCACAATATATAAGTATTTTTTTTCTATATTATTTATTAACTTTTGATCTAATGAAATTCATGGAAACTTTAGGAGTGCATCAATGTATTTCACAAATCAAGACTTTTTTTTAGATAGATTAATATTAAAATGATTAAAATAGCAATAACAATATAAAGAAAGAAATCACTTACATCTCTAAGCTGTCCTGTAAAATTGCCATATCTATTACAACTACCAAAGACCATTGTATCAGGTCGTTTTTGAATCCTCCCTAAGTTGTATAAGAGAGGAAAAGGAATGAGCAATATTTTCAACAAGTGAAAAAAGAAAAAAAAAAGAATCTAAAGTTGTGTTTGCCTACCTGTTAGTGGTTTTACTGCTATTTTATCGTTAATTTTTCCTATCATTTGACCATTTTTGTATCTGAAATAAACGTCGTTCCATGCGTTGGGCTGCAAATAGAACGTTATATGAAACATCATTTGACTATTGACTATATATGAATATCATATATTTATACATTTTACCTTTGAGTTTCCAAAATTGAAAAATAGTTTCATTTTGCAAAAATCAAACCTCAAGAAAGTGTTTTTGTATTTAAAAGAAAATCTCTGACGACAATTCATTGATCTACCAGCGGTGCTAAACAAAATAAGAAAAACGTTATGTGCCTTTTGATATTCAAGTGTTTTTGGAATATTTATACAAACAAATTTACTTACATCAATTTCAATAGTAAAAAATCCCTGGTTTTCTGCCTCATCTGTCTTTATGAAAAAGGTTGCAACATCATCAAAGCTGTTTAGAACAATTCCAAAGGATGGTTCATTTTCGCCCTCACAGTTGCTTACAAGAGTGTATGGTTCCATTCTCATTCCGGGCTTTGGCTTGAATTTAAAGCTGATCTGTAGTTTGTCATCGTAATCATAATACTGGTATTTCCAAAAGTACAGACGATTACTTCCATCGAAAAATGCGCTCCTGTCACGAATGTCAACCCCAGTAGCGTCCACGGAATCGTTACTTCCGGCCGTATTGATTATCTGATTTCCTCGGAATATAAGAGCTATTTCCGGTAAACACTCGCTCATTGGTCTAGTCATGGGATAACCACCTATAAAAAACAAATGAGGGGTTCATAAAAACAGTCCTCATATCAATTTGTTTGCAAAAGCAATATTTTTTTTAATATTTAACAAAATTGGATTTTCCTCAAACATTGACATACAAGCAGTTGATTGAGAATTATTTTTCAGTAATTAAATCTTTATGATAAAATCTTTTTCCAAAAGCCATCCATCCAAATTTCAGCTGATTTGGAAGGAATAGCTTGATGACTGAAAATTAAATTATAAGGAATGTATTAAACAGCAACCCAAGTTATTCTGATATAGCATAGGTTGGGGCAGTTTACGCTTTCTTTATAAACGGCATCGTTGTTTATAAAACGTAAACTGCTCTAATCCAGTTATACAATGTAACTTGAGTTGCTATTTAATTCATTACTCAAATATTTATATCTATACATTACCCCCCCCCCCGTAAATGGTTTCAATTATAGACTAAAACAACACTAAGGAGACATTCTTCAATTACGCAGATCATTTTGACCAATATAAAAAAAAGTCTTACACTCTTAATAGCATTGAGATATGCAATACTTCATTGATATCTTGCAAGCTATTTCTTCATTTTTCTTGTTCAATTAAAAAAATACAATATAGTAATGATTGAACAGTAAAGTTATATTACCTGCCAGTATGTTGTTGCAGCCACATGTTGTTATGTTGTAACCAGAACCCGGAGCACAGTACCTTATTTTCCAATCCCCATTAAGATACTCTTCGTACCTTGTCTGGTCCATCCCAGCAGGTGTAAAATGGGCTCTGAGTCGGCATTTCATTTCATGGAAAACAGTATATTCTTGTTCGCTTCTCTGGCTGCCTGGAATTGCATTAGGCTCAAGGGGAACTATGCCTGAAGCAATATCAAGGATTTTTGTTCCTCTTTCTACGGGCGATCCCATGTTGACAGGATTTCCGAAGTCTGGGAAATTGCCAAAATTATTGCCTAATTCAACGGCATTAGCCATTTGGTCCATGGCAACTGGATCTGCGACTGGCATTTCACCCCTAACCATAGGATCTTGCACGGGTAATTCGTTTGCAATATCTGGAACTGGAAATTGTGAATCAACTATAGGTCTTTCATTGTTGCGTCTTGCAATTGGTATACTTCTTCCACCAGCATTCGGAATATCAACAGAACCCAAATTACGGTTAAAAATTTGGTTCACTGACTTAGGCGGTAAAGCTGGATCAGAGGGCATCATTGCATCAAATCCTGGAATGTTGTCTTGAAAGTTAGTTGGGAGCCATTCCTTAACAACCTCTGAGCCTGTTAGTGAAAATTGCGGATTTTCTCTAGGTACTTCTGGTGGAAGTGTTGTTGGTGGAGGAGGAGGGTCCATTGGTCCCATTCGGTCTGCTGGTCCCATTCGTTGATCTGGTGGTCCCATCTGCTGGTCCGGTGGTCCCATTTGCTGGTCTAATAATCCTGTTCGTTGGTCAAATTGTCCCATTGGTTGGTCAATGGGTTGTATTGGTGGCTCCATTGGTCCCATTGGTGGATCTATCATTGGTGGATCTATCATAGGTGGTTCAGTAGGTCCCAGTGGTTGGTCTAACGGTCTCATTGCTGCATCGGGGTTTTGGATTGGCGGCTCCATAGGTACATCAACTTGAATATTAGTTGTTTCTTGGTTCACTGGATCAATGGAAGGAAGGAGGGCCTTCTTCCGTTTTGTAGATTTTACTGGTGGTAATAAACCTGAACGTGGATTTGGTTCCAGAAGTAGTGAGGGGTCATTGGCCATGTTATCAAATGCTCCTTATGAAAAAAAGAAGTATTAGATTATAATTTGCAACAAGAAGATGCGATAATTAAATACTCGACGAATCAAGTATGAACGTACCGGTATATTAGGAAATATGAACCCTCTTATTCGCTGATTTTTACTTATAAGTTAACATGCTCCATATATATTCTGAAAACTGGGTATAATTATGCTTGCACTTTCGAATATTTTGCATATGATTAGACCAAGCATGCTGAGTTAGTAATTCTTAGTGTTAATTTAGTTTTTCCTTCAAGGTATAGTAGATATTTGATGAAGCATAATGTAGCTTACACATTCTTTCGACCTCCAAGATATTAAAACATTAGAAAGCAATTATAACTTTTACACCTAATTGAATTTACACATTTTGGTCTGGAAAAAATAAATTTTAAGAAGTTTTTATTACTATGGCCGCGACTGTGTTAACGTTCCTTCGTTAAAATACCAGTGGGGTATACAAATCCAATGCTAAATAAAATAACAAGCAACATTTAAGGTATAGTAGATATTCACTGAAGCATAATGTAGGAAACTCCTTATTTCGACCTCCAAAATATTAATACAGTAAAAAGCAATGACTTTTATACCTAATTGAATTTACACATATTGGTCTGGACGATACATTTTCATTAAGAAGTTCTTTTCTATGGCCACCACTGTGTTAACGTTCCTTCGTTAAAATACCAGTGGGATATATAAATCCGATGCTAAAAACAAAATAACAAGCAAACGTGTCTTTGCAGAACAGCAAGCTCTGTCACCTTTGTGCACTGTTACCTTGACTGAGGTCAAAAGACGATTGACCCTGGGGCGGAAGAACTTCAACAACTGTGTTTTGAGCAGTCGAAAGTTCCCCATTAATTACACATGTATATGTTCCACTATCAGATTCAGTGATACTTGGAAATCCGAGAATGTTTTCGTATAAGATCAAATTAGGAAAGGTGGTTTCAGTAATAACATCGTTATTCTTATACCACGTGACTCTATCACCGACATTCCTAATGTCACATACGATGTCGGCGGCTGTGTTTGCTGGAAATTGCCTAGTACGTGTTGACCCTGAAACAGTGATGGCGAATGAGAGGACACGAGAATGTGTGGGCAAAAATGTTTGCCGAATTTGCCGACTTTACAAGTGTGATAAAGGTCCATGGACATTTCAGAACAGCTCAGTTTGAATCAGAGCATTTTAATTTGAAGTACATGAAATACGATTGATATTTGTCATGAAAAGTAACAATCTTTGACTATCTTTTGAAATCTAAACTATGCAAGTCAAACATTTTGCTGTTTTCAGAAAGATTGTATACATAAACCGAAAGCAATGTCTTCGCTTGATAAATTAGCTTATTAAACGTAAAAAAGATAGTGGTACAAAAAGAATAAGTTATAGCTTTTAAGGAAAAATATATTTTAAAAAAACATAAAACAAAATATGTCTTATTACTGTTCGTCTGTAATTGGAAGAATGGTGCCATATTTGATAAGGGAAAAGTACAGTTTATCTTAAACTTAGTTTCAATCTTAACGTTAGCTTAATGAAATAAAAAAAATTACAAGTATGTTTTATAGTATAAAACATTTGGGATATGCTTTATCTCCCGATAAGGCATAAAATGTATTTCATATTAAAATATCATTTTGTAAATTACAACACAAATCACAAATAGTCATGACATATTGTTAACCATTAACATTACCAATTGAGCTAAATTCCTCAAAATAGACATCATTTTTATTTTATAACAAAGGATGTTTTATTGATTATTAAACAATAAATTTTCCTACTTTTGCTGTACTATAGATCGTGACAGGTGTTGGTATCATGCATTTAAGTGATTAATCGCAACCTAAATATTCAATTTATATCTATTACCATAATTAGCCAATTTAAATTAAATCACAAGAAAGTTTCCTCCTAAAAATGCAATATATCTGTCTATTTGCGCCTACTTGCCAATCAAATCCATATGTGTCAAAGTATGTCTAAATTCCATGACATAATTATGTTCAAATTTTAGAAATCAATCGTTTTCAAGTTCAGAGTACGTCTCTGATAATTAGCGAAACGATAATTTTGCATCTCTTGATTAATTACTCTACAAGCCACAGAATGGTATTGTGGCCTAAAATTTGAATATATCTTTTATGTATAATGTGCTCCACCTATGCGTTTTCAAGATAGTTAGTAAGTTTGCACTGACTGTCGTTTTGCAAATTTATTTCATTAATTTCTTCACTTACGTCCACAATCACTGAGTTCTCTTTTGCTTTTGTTTTTCATTATTGTTTAACACTGAATCTTTGGATACATTTAATCTTAAGGAAAGATCTTTCAAAATTATGCTCTGTCAAATATATATTTGTGAAAATAGGATGTTAATAGAATTGCCACAACCTCGTATAAAGTCAACATATCGTAAATTCTATGGTAGTTATACTGACCTTGTAAACAGATATAACCTATCAATTTATTCGTTTTTCGGATGACTTGTTTCATACTTAATATTATCTTAGTATTATTAAATGTGTTTTTAATACTGCATTTGACCAAGCATTGTATCCTTAATTGGGAATGCTTTCTCCTCTTTTGCACCTGATCCAACCTCTAGTTCTTTAAAGGTCCGTCTTATTTGCCTTTTACCACATATTTGTATTTTTGTGATTGATCACAGTTCCCCTTTATATTAATTTACCTTCATGACTTTGACTGGGATTATATATATAGATAACGTTCAGTCAGTATCGTATATCAAGTACCTTCGATATCGATCAAAATTATGTCACAAATCTGAATTATAAAAACTTTAACTGTTTTTGCTTACTCAACAATTAATCAACGGCTGTTAAATGTTTCTTCTGTCAATATGAATTCCTTTTAACAAGCGTAAACAATAAGTTTATAAAACTAATTTATTAAGTACAGGTAAAATCGTGTCGAAAGCAACCAATTTTGACACGTAAGGCTTTCATGTTGCATTTTCAAATGGATGGGTAGTTAAGAAATTTTTGCGAATGCTGTGATAAAATTCTTTATCGTATTTGTTAAGACATTTAATGGTGTATAGTGTATTCAAATATGAGTATGAAAAATTTAGCAGGAAGAACTGTTTTCACAAGACCAAGGCAATTAATATGTTTTATTCCATTGTAGATAATATTTTGTTAAATGCTATGAACTTTTAAAATTAATTTTGGTAACAACCTTTTCCCGGTGAAAAAGAGATATAAATGGCCTGCATATTAAGCAGTTTTACGTTTTCGCCTGTAGTTATCACCATTGGAAGATTAGTAATGGATTTTTTTATTAATATAAAATTCATCTTCAGAAATTCAACTTTCTCTCTCTCTCTCTCTCTCTCTCTCTCTCTCTCTCTCTAAACGAATTAAAATTTCATTTTAATGTTAGCATGCCCCGACCTGTGTTGCCTATCAAATAATAACATAAAATGATTGAATTAGTCTATCTGAAATATGTGATCATGATCTGAAAAATAGAGACTAAATCTAAATCCTTTATATAAAACTGATCCTTAGCCAATATGTGATATATCTAGAAGGAAAATAAATGTTTTATAAAAAGACATGAAAACCATGGCTTTTCACATCTTCAAAATTAAATAGTTGTTTACATGTTAATTGTTAAGAAAGAACATGCATATCATAAACTAATTGTTTTATGGCGAGCAATTTGTTTCGCTGTTATAATGTTAACAAAATGACACAATTAGAATTGAGTATCACTTTAGATGAGTATATACAGTGGTTAAAATTGCCGTAAGGTTTGTTAAAAAGTTAGACATAAGTTTTAATTAGTATATATACAAGGTATATTTTTACCTTTGATACCATTATTAAGATAATTGATCCATTCCTTATTAGATAAATTATTATATGTCCGGCGTTATAAGATGTATAAAAAAGAAAGGTAATAATAATCATATAGTCAAAAATATTTGAAATATCTTTTTTAACAAAACCGCCAAAAGAAACCTGAACATTTAAGAAAATAAATTATCAATTACAAATATCATGTGCTTTAATTCAAGAAGCCTGCTCACCTTGGCCTTCACAAATAGATAAAAATCCATAAAATAAAATAAAAACTGTTAATCTGTTCATTTTGGTTGAATGCTTCTTTCCAATCCTGACAACAGACTTGTAGAGACACTGACAGTCCCAGGCGTTGTGAATGGCCGCAACGAACGTCGAAAAATATAAGTAATTCAGATCATGTCAAGTCTGCTATGACAGAATCATTTAAAATTCAACCATAGGGTGTGTCGTCGGTTTTACATTTGAATACAATAACAATGGTAATTCATTGCCTCGTTAATGGAGATGATAAAAATGGATACTAATTGCACTGAATACGTGGTGTTCATAGGTGTTTTTCTTTCAGAAGTGAACGATCACGATTTTTTGAATTTTAGGCGCCTTATACGAGATGTTCCATGGCTAAAGAACATTCTGTCAATTGATTTGAAAATACATTTTGACGTGTTTTATCTTAATTTGCATTAATTTACAGTAAACAAACACAATTTTTTATTTCACCCACGATACCACGCAATTGCAGAAGTCGTAATTGCTGGATCGTAATTGTATCGCTCATAAAAATGTAAAGGTGTATGTTTAATGTTATTGTTTTCATGTCAAAGTTGTAAATGTTTAAAGTGAAATTCATAATGATTGAATAGACCACCAGGAGAGTATAAAATTCAAAATTGATAAGTTTATATATGAAACACAAAAATTTAATTGAAAAGACACCAATTAAAATCACTTTTAATGTAGTAAACTTGACCGTGGTTTTTTTTCTACGCACAATCTTTTGTAAATTGTAGAAAAAAAGTTCAAAGTTCCAGAAAACAGATAACTAATGATCTTTAAAATGTTAGATATAATGAAATTATAAACGTAATCCAAAACAATTAGCCGGTTTTAAAGTATTGTATCCTAGGTGGAGGTTATCATGGTTAGTTCTTATAGTAACCCTCACTAGGATAACCTCTTAATGGATTTAAACTTTTCAAAGATTTTCCTGGGCAAAATGGGCACACGTGTTACAGATGAACTAGAACAACTTATCAGATACTCCTTATGATTTTCTTCAATGGCCAAAACATTTTTCATCATAAAAGGAGTCTTTTAAAAAGAAATAAAATAAAACCAAAAATCATTTTTAAAAAGATGCTCGAGTTTCTGATCTATAAAAATGTGGGGGTTTTTTTTGGAGAAGAGATCTTTCAACAATCTTGAAAATCCCATGGGTACCAATTGTGCTTCGTTATTATTATTATTATTTGTATTCATATAATTATTATATATAGCAGAATTTGTTCCAAAGACTTTAAGTGAAAAGAAAACACTTGTTGTGTCCGTCAGCTCGACATTTAGATATATCGACGAGACATTGTATCAATTAACAATAGTTATTTCCATTCTTATGTCGACTAGATATACCATATCCCGCTGAGCTTGAAATAAAAGATACTACAGAGTCTGGCATATTTTTTCCATATTTGGATCTTTTAAAGACGTTAATGGATATCTTACAACTAAGCTTTATGATAAATGTGATGACTTTGACTTTTCAATCATCGGAAGACCGTGTTCTACGTATGGTCGTTTCTCAATCAAGAAAATTATGGCAAACAAGTTGATGAAGCAAGATCAACGGAAGTTTCGTTTAAAGTCATCATTTCGCAAATTCTATGGTTGATACAATGACCTTGTCAACAAATACATTTATCATTAAGTCAAATGCTAAATGAAGTTTTTCATACTGATTGTTAGACCATTTTTAACACAAAGAGTTGACCAAGGATTTTCCCGTTATTCCCCGATCATGATAAGGATCACAGGCGGGTGTGACCGGTCGGCAGGGGGTGCTCATCAGGCGCGTAGCCAGCATGCAAATGAAGTGTACGCAGAAAACGGTCGGGGGTCTGGGGGCCGCCCTGAGGGGCCCAGGGGGCGAAGCCCCCGGAAGCTCCTGGATTTTACGAAATTTTTCAGTCATTTTCTCTCAAAAGAAGTCACGATAATATCACTTTTCTCGAGCAAACACTTAGCTAAGTTATACTGCTTCCATTGATACTTCAGGAACAGAACGATAATTTATAAAATTAATTTACGCATATATTGGTATTGGAAAAAAGTTTCCAGGTATATCAAGATAAAACAGAGCAGAAATTTCAATATCGTTATCATTGGAGTTTAAATATTTCAAAATATAAACGGTGGTGTTGTTGTCTTTTGATTACCTTCATATTTTATACATGTAGCTGAAGCGATTCGAGAATGCTTCAATTATTTATAATAAAATTCTTTAAATTGGTAACATCAGTAATAGAAGCTATATCATTATTTATTTTGTTCACCATAATTTAAATTGTTTAACGACATTTATTCATTACCTCTACGAAATTAAAAATCTTGTATAGTCGTCCAAGACCTTTGAAACTTTTTCTTTCGATCAAAGTCCCTTAGATAGCTTACCTTCATCAAATATTTGTCCGGATAATCAGTATTACGCGGATTAATTTTAAGTTGAACATTTTCGTTCAACAATATTTTTTCCTCAAGAATGTTGAAAGATGTTTTTGGAATATTATTTTATAAAGGACTAAATTTGAATGTGCAGACATGCTGAAAAAAATTTGAATCGAAACAATAAGACGCAAAATAATTTGAAACACGGGTAGTGCCTCTTTTTCCCCGAATAAATTTCTCTCTTTCTTTTTTCCTTCTTTTCTTTTATCCCTCTTTCTTTCTTTCCTTTTTTTTTGGAAAATGATGTGTACGCACTTGCGTACTTGCGTATAGGCAGCTACGCGCCTGCTCATATCTCCATGGAACCTGATTTTACCTCTGATGTTTTGGAGGTCCTTGTTTGCTCAGCTCCTATTTTGTAATGTTTATTGGACTTTTGAGCTTCTATGCTGTTCGTTATCTCCACATATTTCATGCTCAATTTTCAAACGATTACCAATCTGGAATGAGTGAAAGATTTTTAAAAAATGAATTCTGAGATGTGATGTTAATTTCTTAGAAGACGGAAACTTTTTCAGACTTGAATATTGATACAAGGGAACCATTCATTTAAACAATACAATCAATCTTTACATCCATCAAATTTAAACAAATTAATTCATTCAATATTTCAATTTGTTCTTTGCATTTTTTATAATGTATACATCAGATTTAAAATTGAAATGTCTAATTTTGAAAACTAATAGAATATTTAAATAAATCATGTAAAAAGTGAAGTTCGCAAACTGCAAATAATTGATTGATGAGAATAAAACTGATCGATCTAAAAATTTCAAAATAAAATTGACTTGATTGGCCGATCGGATCTAACTCCCTGAGACATACCTTTTGTTTGTGAATTAATTGTTCTTTTTATAAGCTTCTTCCTTAGAAAATAATGAAAAGAATCTCATTCACTGCAGTTTATTATTAAGTTAATTTCTTGGGAAAATATTATCTTTCTGAAGTCTAGGTATTGACGTAACTATCTTATATTAATTTTGTGGAATTAACGAACAGTAATCATCCTCAAAAGTCCATATGTAAACAATACAAATTATGAGCAGAGATAACTCCTTCCCTCAAAAAAAAAAAAAAAAAAAGCAATGGGGTCAGGTGTTATAGCGGGAAAGCAACCCCTGTTGATCAGTCACACCAGCGTGTGGTCCTTGTCATCATCGTGTAAACGATATATTCGTGGACAAATCAGTATGAAAATAATGATTTAGCTATCCATTTTGCATGAAAAACCCTTAAAACATTTGATTTAACGTCATGTATTTGCAAATAAGGTCATTATATACAGTACAATTATTTAATGTTGACTTGATTTTAAGTTGTTGGTATTCTGATAATGTATCATCAGCTTATTTTTCAAAAGCCTGTCTAGTTGTAGAAATTGTTCGTATGTAGAATATATATTATCTATATGCGTATCGAATCAACAGTAAGACTAAATTTCATATTCAGGTGATAAGGGTCTATACATGTATTGCTACATTGAGAAGGGAAGAGTCAATATAAATGTTGAAGTCATTATGGTTATCGTGAAGTTAATGTGAAAATAGAGAAAGGTGGGAATGAACTGAACATTGGTAACGCAAGATGTATTTTGAAGTTCACTGGAATATATCGAATTGATATAAGAATATATGTACATACCCTTATCACTTCCATATGTTTTATGAATGAAAGTAACGGTTAACTGTTAATACATCGTCAATATATCTAAATATCGAGTTGAGGACCAATGCAAGTGGTTTTTTGCTTCTCATTTGGAAGTTTTTGAATGAATTCCATTCAGGAAAATAAAAAGCAGCCAAGAAAATAGTAGATTTTGTGCCTATCAAAAATACAAGAGCTTCAACATATTTTAGAAGTGGTGTGTTTCAGAAGTGTATTTCAAAATCTCTAAAATATCTGTTTCATATTTTTCTCATCTGTATGTTTTACTAATTATTGACGATATGGGCCAACAAACAACTAAATAGTATAAAAAAAATAAATGACTTCAACTTTTCCATCATCAACTTTCCTAAGTTATGTACGTATAGCCCCATAACGTCCAAACTTATTCGAACCACAAGGGCTATTCCGAGTACAATCAAATTAAAAGCAGAGTAAAGGCTGATTACTGAGAGATAAGTTAACTTTACAGGGATTTAAACAATCAACATTTCGTAAAATCTATTGGCACTGTAATAACCTTGTTTGCAAATAAAAGTTATTATTGGGACGTATTTTAGATTACTTGGTTCATACCAATTTAATACAGAATACTCTTCTACTTGTTAATTAAATACATGTACATTATATGGATATTGAAAATTGACGATGAAAAATCTTAGGTTATCACGATTATCGTATAATATAGTTGTTAGTTTGCCTTTTTTTCTATTCAGAACATCTAAATATGAAAGAATTATAAAAGACCCTGAGTTGTCTTTTATTTCGAGTTCACTGAGATATATCCAGTTGACATACATGTATGAATGAAAATTACTCATGTCATTTTTGGCATAAATTGTTGTTTTAAAGTTTAGGGTATCAGCAAACTAATATTAATCGTTCAAATACTTTTTTCTCTGATCCCCTATCATGTTTCATATATATTTTTCGTATTTTCCCCATTTTGATAAATGACATTTATACGATTTCATCTCTATATGTG